AAAAAAAAAAAAAAAAAAAAAAAAGAAATCTGCTGTCTCACCCTCCCTGTTTGGGACACAGTTCTAATTACATGACTGCAGGATTCCTGTGGGCTTTCTCCCAGCTTTCACTCTTATGGACAGTACCCAGCATCTCACTTTCACTGACACTTGTCTACTCTACCTTAGAACTGAAACCTTCTCCCCAGGCCTCGCCTCTCCTTCCTGCCTCACCTTCCCCCTTAGCTTCCATCACTGAGCAGCACACTACCACAACCCTGTATTTTGCTGACTGTCTTCCCCAGTGGGATACATGGAGGGAAGCTCTGTTGAGTTTGCTCACTGCTGAACCCCTCACTCCCAGCACCCACAGCAGTGCCTGGCTCCTAACAGGCACTCAGGATTACTCTAGGCTATTCCTGCAGCAAGGCTGGACAGTGCTTATTTCTCTACCCCTCGTCATCACGCGGTACCTTAACTTTGAAAAACTTCATACTATGATGGATGAGAAAATGTCAATTTTCGGGGGCTGGAGAGATGGCTCAGTGGTTAAGAACACTGACTGTTCTTGCAGAAGACCCGGGTTCAAATCCCAGTGCCCACATGGCAGCTAACAACTGTCCATAACTCCAGTTCCAGGAGATCCGATGGCCTCTTCTGTCCTCTGAGAGCACTGCATGACATGGACGCGCTTACATACGTGTAGGCAATATACACATACACACAAAATATTTTTTTTTTAAAATGTCAATTTTCATTTATTTCATTTTATTATTTTTTAATAATTTATATTTTTTTTAGTCTTTTTGAGACAGGGTCTCCCTGTAGCCCAGCTAGCCTGGAACTCGCTATGTAGACCAGGCTGGCTTCGAACTTAGGGATCTGCCTGCCTCTGCCTCCTGAGTGCTGGGACTAAAGGCGTGTGTCACCACACCAGGCTGAAAAAAAATGTTGATTTTTAATTTCTATTTGTACTAATTTGGCGTTTTAGGCTGGGCATGAGGTCTCATGTCTATAATCCAAGACAGAGGGGCAAGAGGGTCTTTTTTTCTTTTCCTTTTCCATTTTGGTTTTCTTATGTTACCCAGGCTAACTTCAAACTCACAGTGATCCTCCTGCCTGAGGCTCCCAAGTCCTGTTACAGGTGTGAGTTATTTGAATCTCTTCTCAGAATTTTATGTTAATCTGTTTGAACAGAGGGTCTTTAAAAACTGAAGCGATCAATATTACATATATTTTTTTAAATTTACTTATTTTGGGGACTGGGAAGATGGCTCAGCGGTTAAGAGGACTGGCTGTTCTTGCAGGGGACCTCAGTTCGATTCCCAGCATGTACATGGTGGCTCACAAGCATCTGTAACTCCAGTTCCAGGGGATCCGACGCCCTCTTCTGATCTCCAAGGGTATTGCATGACAAGAGGGCACATACATACATGTGGGCAATACACTTATAAACACAAAATTTTAAAAAATATTTTATTATTTTTATTTTATGTGTATGCATGTATTGCCTACATGTAGATAAGTGCACCCGTGTCATGCAAGGCCCAAGGAGGACAGAAGAGGCTGTGAGATCCCCTGGAACTTGGAGTTACAGACAGTTGTTAGCTGCCATGTGGGTGCTGGGATTTGAACCTGGGTCATCTGCAAGAACAATCAGTGTTCTTAACCACTGAGCCATTATCTCCAACCCCCATAAAATAAAAATTTTAAAAATTAAATAAAAGGCCGGGCGTGGTGGTGCACACCTTTAATCCCAGCACTTGGGAGGCAGAGGCAGGTGGATCTCTGTGAGTTTGAGGCCAGCCTGGTCTCCGTGGTGAATTCAGGACAGCTGGGGCTACAGGGAGACCCTGTCTCAAAAAGGTTAAAAAAAAAATTAAATTTTACTTACTTTTATTTTATGTGTATGAGTGTTTTGCCTGCATGTATATATGTGCACCATGTGTGTGCCTGGTGCCCAAGGAGGCCACAAGGTGTCATATCCCCTGGAACCAGAGCTCCAGATGCTTGTAGTCACATGAAGGTTGAGATAAAATGAAAGAGGTCTTCACCACCACCTGGCACTGGGAACCGAACCCGGGTCCTCTGCAAGAGCAGCCAGTGCTCTGAACCACTGAGCCCTCTCTCAGCCACAATATATATATATATATATATTTAAAAATATTTTTATTTATTATTTTTACTTTATGTGTGTTATGCCTGCATGTATGTAAGTGCATCCGTGTTGTGCAATGTCTGAGGAAGTCAGAAGAGGGTGTCAGATCCCCTGGAACTAGAGTACAGGTGGTTGTTAGTCTCCATGTGGGTACTGGGATTCGAATGTACCACCACACCCAGCTGAGGTTTGAGATTTCTTTTATCTTTTCTTTTTTTTTTTAATTTATTTATTATTTTTATTTTATATGTATGCATCTATTGCTTGCATGTAGGTAAGTGCATCTGTGTCGTGCAATGCCCGAGGAGGTCAGAAGAAGCTGTCGGATCCCCTGGGACTGGAGTTATGGACAGTTGATAGCTGCCATGTGGGTGCTGGGATTCAAACCCAGGTCTTCTTCAAGAACAACCAGTGTTCTTAACTGGTGAGCCATCTCTCCAGGCCCCCCTTTTTTCTTTTTTATAAAATATTTAAGGGTCTGGAGAGATGGATGAGTGGTTAAGAGCGCTGGCTACTCTTGCAGAGGACCTGGGTTTGATTCCCAACACCCACATAGTGGTTTACAACCATCTGTAACTCCAGTTCTAGGGGACCCAATACACTCGTCTGACCTCTGGGTATTGCAAGACATGGGTGCACTATTATATACATGTAGGCAACACTCACACACATAAAAATAATAAAATTTTAAAAATACATATTTAATTTTAGCCGGACATGGTGGTGGTGCACACCTTTAGTCCCAGCACTCAGGAGGCAGTGGTAGGTAGATCTCTCTGAGTTCAAAGCTAGCCTGGTCTACATAGTTCCAGGCCAGCTGGGGCTACAGGGAGACTGTCTCAAAAACAAACAAAAAAACAATCAAAACCCCAGCATGTCAGATTAAAAAAAAAAAAAACAAGAATCCCTGATTTTAAATTTTGTGCATCAGCAGTAAAAAATGCAAAGAGCTTCTCCCTCCCCTTAGCTGCTTTGTTCGCCCCACTCCCCGCTCCCTCCCTTCCTTTCCATTTATTTATTTATTTATTTATTTATTATTTATTTACTTTGTGTGAGTGTGTGTGCACATTCAAAGAATCATCTGCAGGAGTCAGTGCTCTCCTTCCCCTACGTGGCCTGGTGGCAAGCTCTTTTACCCACTGAACCATCTTCTTCCCTCTCTCCCTTCTTCCCTCCTTTTTCTCCCTCTCTCCTTCCTTCTTTAAGACAAACTCTTATTGTGGCCCAGGCTGGCCTCAAACTCACTATGTGGTTGAGGATGACTTTGAACTCCTGAACCTTTTGCCGCTACCTCCCAGTGCTGGGATCACAGACTCACTGTGTTCAGTTCTGTTGCTTATTTAAACGGAGGCTGAGGTAAAATGAAGGCGGTCTTGACAAGAGTTGAGTCTCACATACCTGGATTGAGTCAGCTGGCTTGTTGATGTGCTCTTTAAAGATCAGCATGGTGGGGGCATAGACATTGATGTTGTACTGTCTGGTCATCTCTTCCACCCCTCTCAAGCCCACATATACATATCCAAATGATAAATAATCTCTGTATGCAAAAGCAGTCAGCTGTGAGGGCATAACAGAGGGAGGAAAGGAAAGTCAGTTTGGCATCCCATGTACAAAGCAAGTGGGACCTGTTCTTCTTGATGGTGATGGCTGAGGATGAACAGACACAGCCCTGTTTACAAAGCCCTGAGGGTCTCCCTTACCCTCATACTCTTCCAGGAATCCTTGGGTATTCCACACACAAAAACTAAACTGACAAAGGTAAAGACAACTACTTTTCTCAGCATTAAAGCAAAATAATCATCATACTGAAATCTGGCCTTGGTGTGAGGCAGGCAATATTGGGAGAGTTATCTGCCACCAGACATGTCAGGTGGCAGCGACTGTGCCCGTGATCAAGGTGCTCTCCTCTCCCATCTCATGTCATGGAAGATGAGAGGGTGCTAGAAAAAGCAAAATAATCTTCTTACTGAAACGGGCTTGTAGCATGTGGCAGATCATGCTGGATGTGATGGGACTGCACACTGGCCAGGCTGCAGTGAGACCTCAGTCCTGCTGTTCACCACAGTGTGCCCAGTGTGTCCATCTACAGATGCAGATAGTATCCCTTTATTTGGTTCTTCTAGGGGTTAAATGACATCATGTGTGGATGTCATTCATGTGGAAGAACTAGGGCAGTAACCAGCACCAGGGTATGGATGTGCTCATTATAAGGTGGTGAGGTCTTTGATCTTCAGGTGTTTCTGCCCCAATTAAACTATCATTGGCTGAACAGTCCTTATCTGAAATGCTTGGGACCAGAAATGTTTCAGATTTTGAAATATCAGCATACACATAATGAAGTATTCTTGGGGATGGAATCAAGTTTGAACACAAAATCATGTGTTTCATATGTATCTTACACATGCCATGAAGGTCGTTTTATGTTTAGCATGTTTTGACTGCGACCTGAAATCATGCTGGTGCTCAGGAGTCCTCATCTTTGGGATTTTTCTTTAAAGTAGGGCTGCCCAGTTTACACAGAAGACATCCAGGCTCCCAGTCCCAACTGGGAGCTTACGTCCTACATTTGCCAGCGTACAACGTACCTTGTAGAGCAGCGGTGCAGCAGGCCCCTGGTCAAACAGGAGGACATGTGGCTTGTTCTCCAGCTGCCAGCCAGACAGGAATCGGATGTAATTCTTATTTGTGACCTTGAGTCAGAAATGGAAATAGAATGTTAGCTTCATGCTTAGTTGTTAAGGCCTGTCAAGAGATAAGCAAATTAGTATGTGGAGGATGAAGCTTGTAAAAGATTTTTTTAAAAAAGCAAACAAATGGGGCTGGAGAGATGGCTCAACAGCTAAGATCTCTTGTTGCTCTTGCAGAGGACCAGAGTTTGGTTCCCAGCACCCATATGAGACAGCTCACAACTGCCTGTAACTCCAGCTCCAGGGGATCTGATGCCCTCTTCCAGGCTCTGCAGGCACCGCACTCATGTACACACACACAGCCCCGCCCTGCCCCACCCCGATATACACACACATATTTTAAAAAATATTTTATTATTTTTATTTTATGTGTATGAGTGTTATGCCTGAATGTAAGTAAGCGCACCCGTGTCGGGCAATGCCTGCGGAGGACAGAAGAGGCTGTCGGATCCCCTGGAACTGGAGTTACTGGACAGCTGCTAGCTGCCATGTGGGTTCTGGGATTAGAACTCAGGTCTTCAAGAACAGTCATTGTTCTTAACCGCTGAGCCATCTCTCCAGCCCCAACACACACATATTTTTAAATGCAGATAACTACTCTTTTTGTCTTAATCTGACAAAGCCACAGGAAGAACGGAGGCACAGGCTTCATGTTTCAACTCTTTTTTTTTTTTTTTTTTTTTTTTTTTTTTGGTCTTTTTGAGACAGGGTCTCCCTGTAGCCCCAGCTTTCCTGGAACTCACTATGTAGACCAGGCTGGCCTTGAATTCACAGAGATCTGCCTGCCTCTGCCTCCCAAGTGCTGGGTTTGAAGGAGTGCACCACCATGCCTGACTCATGAATTAAATTTCTAACTATAATTTTCCAGGGGTTCAAAAAGTCTGATATTTTGTGCTGCACCCAGAATAACCCACAGGAAACCCAGTCCGCCTCACCCCCCTGCTCAGACCCCTGTGAAGCGTTCAGCGCCTTCAGGCCAGGCCCAAGTTCCAAAGGGCTGGGAGGTGCCCAAGGCCTCCAATGAGACCCTTAGTGCCCCAAGAGCCTCTTCCTGCCTGCCCACCAATGGCTTCTCACACACAGCAGGCCACTTCACATCCCCAGATTGCTGTCTGCTCCTCACTCCTTCCTTCTCTCCCTTTACCTAGCAAACCCAGGACAGGAGCTGCTGCTGGCCAGAAGCCTTTCCCAGTTCACAGGATGGGCTCCAAAATACAGGGTGAAGGTGTTACCACTTGCCGGGAACTACCTGAAATGTCCTCAACACTTAGGCATTCTTCACCTGTGTGGGTTCCTAGCATGACAAGCTCTCTGTACTGCAGGAGCCTTCGATGCCCTCTGGCCTTGTAAGCTAAACCAGTCAACATTTCTCTTGTGAAGAGAAATGTCACAACAGCACAGGCTGTCAAGGCCCTCCCTGTGGCTGTTAACAGAATGAATTATTTAAAGCTAATTAAGAGACCTTCCCCATTCACTCTGATCCCCACCCTAAGATAACTGAAAACAAACAAACAAAAAATGTCATTTAAAGGTAAAAATTAAAACACTGCACACTCTGCATCCGGCTTCTTCAGCTGAAGTTGCTCCTCACGAACTCATCCATGCTATTGTATTACTAAACTGTGTTTTTAACAGTCTCTATTTTTTTAATATTATTTTTATTTTGTGTATGTGTATATTGTCTGCATGTAGGTAAGTGCACCCATGTTGTGCAATGTCTGCAGAGGACGGAAGAGGCTGTCAGATCCCCTGGGACCAGAGTTACGGGCAGTTGTCAGCTGCCATGTGGGTGCTGGGATTCGAACCTGGGTCTTCTGCAAGAACAACCAGTGTTCTTAACTGCTGAGCTATCTCTCCACCCTACTAAACTCTTTTTTAAAGTTGCATTTATTTATTTTTTGTGTGTGTATGGGGTGTGTGTGTACAAGTCACAACATATATGTGGAGGTCAGAGGACAACCTTCAGGAATCAGTTCTCTCTTCCCACCATGTGGGTCCCAGGGATCAAACACAGGCTGGCAACAAACACCTTTACCTGCTGAGCGATCAATAAACTTTTAAAGGTCCAAAAATATTATTTGGTCTAATGAATCTGTTGTTTTCAAAAGATATGACCATTAAACATAAAACCAAATGCAATTTTTTTTTTTTTTGGTCTTTTTGAGACAGGGTCTCCCTGTAGCCCCAGCTGTCCTGGAACTCACTATGTAGACCAGGCTGGCCTTGAACTCACAGAGATCCACCTGCCTCTGCCTCCCAAGTGCTGGGATTAAAGGCATGCACCACCATGCCCGGCCCAAATGCAAGTTTTTTTAAAAAATGTAATCTGATTTGGTATTTTCACAAGACAGTATGTGCCCACGAGCGAATGCAAGAACCAGAAATCCTACCATGTGATCTAAATTTTTGTTGTTGTTTAGAAGACAGCCAGTGGCTTCAGGCTCAGATTCCTGTGATGGGGTGGGATCTGGTTATTAATAGCAGTGGATTCCACCTGCTTCAGTCTTCAGCCTCCCACAGGCTTCATTTAAATGATTTCTTGTGAGTAATTAGCTGGTATGTATGTTGGCTGCTCAAAGTGGAAGTCAGGCCTGAGAGGGTCACAAAGTTCTGGGTAGCCCATGGCCCAGGTTGTCCTTGAGAGACACTTACCTTCTCCACCAAGTTCCCTGGAAGAAGACTTTCCACAAACTGCCGTAGGTTCTCCCGGACGACTGCATTGTGGAAGAAGGAAACTTTCCCATTTACGATTCCTAGGATGGAGGGGGTGCTGTGTGCTCCCAGATGATGGGCCAGGCGTCTCTCATACCCAGCATGGACAACACCAATTCCCACACCTGAAAAGGGAAGAGCTTTATGAAGCCTTGAGACTACGTACGGCAGGAGGCGTGGGGCTGACAGGCTACTTCAGTGTGAAAGCTAAACCAGCCTGGCTGGAGAGAGCATTTTTTTCTAATGGATTGTTAGTATCTTTTCAATGTTGGAATTCTAGATTGGTATAGTATTTACAAAGAGTTACAAATCGTCAAATCTCTTTTGTTCTTTTGTTTTGAGGTAGGGGCTCACTATGTAGTTCTGGTTGGCTTGGAACTCACTATATAGACCAGGCTGGTCTCAAACTCGCAGAGATCCCCCTGCCTCTGCTTCTCAGATGCTGAGATTAAAGGGGTGCACCATCACGCCAGGCCCTCTTTATATCTTTTAGCCTGTTACTTTTAAAAAAAAATTTTAAAATTTTCTGGTCTTTTTTGAGACAGGGTCTCCCTGTAGCCCCAGCTGTCCTGGAACTCACTATGTAGACCAGACTGGCCTTGAACTCACAGAGATCTGCCTGCCTCTGCCTCCCGAATGCTAGGATTAAAGGTGTGCGCCACCACGCCCGGCTTTTTTTTTTTTTTTTTTAAATATTTATTTTTATTTTTTCTTATGTGTATACATGTATTGTCTGCATGTAGGTAAGTGCACCCATGTCGTGCAATGCCCCTGGAGGACAGAAGAGGCTGTTGGATCCCCTGGAACTGGATTTAAGAGACAGTTGTTAGCTGCCATGCAGGTGCTGGTATTTGAAATTGGGTCTTCTGCAAGAACAGCCCGTGTTCTTAACTGCTGAGCCATCTCTCCAGCCCTAGCCTGTTACTTCTAATTTTGGGAGACGATCATGAGGAAATACTTAAAAGGAAAAAAAGAACAGTCTATATACTGTTCCTACTCATAAACAAATAAATGCCCGGGACTGGTGAGATGGCTCAGTGGGTAAAGGTGCTTGTTACCAAGCCTTACAACTTGAGTTTGATCCCCAGGACCCACATAGTAGAAAGAAAGAACTGACTCCTTCAGATTGTCTTCTGACCTCTACATGTGTGATATGTATGATATGTGCCCATGTGCACACACACACATAATAAATAATAATAATAAAAAAAATAGAAGAGCTGGGCATGGTGGTGCACGCCTTTAATCCCAGCACTCGGATCTTTGTGAGTTTGAGGCCAGCCTGGTCTACATAGTGAGTTCCAGGACACCTTGGGGCTACAGGGAGACTCTGTCTCAAAAAGACACACACACACACATACACACACACAAAATAAATAAAAGAAACAAACACGTAGGAACAACCTAAGGGGCCAACAACTCAACAACAGTGAAACTACCACCACCATGACTTACCTACAGGAGAGAAGTCACAATACTGTCCCCGATGGGAACACGCTTCCCGTTTAGACCTATTACTTTATTGAGATACTAAAAACATACAAATTCTTGACTGGCAAAATGATTCAGCAGGAAATGCACTTGCCATACAAGCCTGACCACCTGAAGTCAATCCTTAGAACCCATGTAAAGGTGGAAGGAGAGGACCAATTCCCCAAAGTCGTCCTTTGATCTCCACATGTGTGCTACTGCATGTGCTCCTGTCCCACAATATTAAATAAAAAAAGTTTTCAATCCTTTAAAATGTGGAAGATCAGACTAGGGAAATGAGTCAGTGGGTAAATGTGCTTGCCACAAATGCCTGATGACCTGAGTTTGCGTTCCCAGAACCCCCACAAAAGTCTGCATGTGGTAGTTAGTGTATCTGTAATCCCAGCACTCCTATGGTGAGATGGGAGGCAGAGTCAGGAGAATTGCCCAGAAACTTGTAGGTCAGCTAGCCTGGAGTTTAAGGCCAAGAGAAAAAATACGGTGGGAGGCAAGACTGACTTCCAAAGTTTGTCCTGACATTCAAATGGCATGTGCATCCCACACTCACACACATCATTCACACATACACACACACACACACAGCATTCACAAACATACACACAAGAAAAAAACAAAAATTTTTTTTAAGATGTTAAAGAAATTGAGTTAAAATCATGCAAAAATTCACAGCCCATGTGACCTGCTTGTTTGGTACCTGTCTGGCTTGTTCCTTTTCTGCATTCATACATGTAACATGTACATACAAATAGATCGCAATCACCTGACAACTTAGTTTTCATCTAATATTCATTTCACTTAATACCCAAATAATTTCTCTTGTTCTTTTATTTAATTAGAATGTCTAAAGGCCCAGTTGCTCTACTGAACACAAGATTAAAGTAGTCAACAAAGAAACATTTTCTCTTGGGTATCTGGTAGACTTCTCAAGCTTCTAAAACTGAGCTCCTGGTCTCCTCCCTGTTCTCCACCCCCGCCTCTGCCACTTCACATATGGCAGCTGCACTCTTCCCATCATGCAGCCCCAACAGAGGAGCCATCCTCTCGTCCCTCACACCCACATCCAATCTGCCAGCAACTCTTGCTGGCTCTCTCCTCAAAATATGTCCAAATGTACCACTTTCTATCACTCCCATAATCCTCCACCTCCTCTTTCTCTCCTCACCCCTCCTTGCTATGTAGCCAAGGATGGCCCTAACACCCTGATCCTTTAGTCTTCATTTTCCCAAATGTTGGGATTACAGATATGTGTCCACCACACACAGTTCCTCATCCCGCTTGGCCAGCTGCTCCTAAGTGGTCTTCCTTATCTGACAGCCAACTCTTCATACAGTGACTGGACAGTTCCTTCTAAATGAGTCACACTGTTCTTCTACCCAAACCCTGCAAAGATATACTCACTTTACTTGGAATAAAATGAGTGGTCTACAGAAAGGGCCAGGGTACTGTGTGGTGTGGTCTCTGATCACGTCTCCGCCTCCTCCTGTTCCTCCTCCTACTCAGCTTGCATGAGCCTCCAGCATTCTGTGAACCTGTAAGGATGCTACTGTCTCCATACCTTGTTCCTTGAACGATGACGCCTTCACTGCAAGCTTCGTGAGGCTTACATTGGCCATATTACAGCTGTGTTCCCCACACGCGGCACCCATGAAACCTGCTCGAGCTCCCTTTCTACAGAGCTGTTTCCACAGTGGTCCTGGGGAACTCAATCCAGAGCCTTAAGCACACTAAGCATGAGTTCTGCCACTGAGCTGTGGCCAACCTGTGTTCACTGTCCTTGAACACAGCCCCCACACTGGCTTTTCTGCTCATTATTACAGTCTGCCTTCCCCTTCTAGAATGAAGGCTCCAAGGAAGGCAGGAAACCATTCCCGCTGTCTGTAGTATCAGAAGAGCTGGCACTCAGCAGGAGCACACTGAAAATGGGCAGCTGGTCTACTTAACCAGCTTTGTCACACAATAAAGCTATGCAAGAGACGGGAAAAACCAAACTGCTTTTCCTAGTCTCACACGCATACACTCAACAATGTACTTGTGTGTGTGTGTGTGTGTGCGCGCGCGCGCGCGCGTGCGTATGTGTAGACCAGAGGTCAGCCTTGTGTGTCATTCCTCAGGTGCACCTTGTTTTGTGTGACAGGGTCTCTCTCTTGGCTTGGAACCTGCTGATTAGGTTGGGTTGGCTGGCCATCAAGCCTCAAGGATTCACCCGTCTCTGCCCTCCACCCATGGTACACGCCACTATATCTGGCTTTCTCTATGTGTATGTGCACTCACATGCATGCACATTCACCCATGTGTATGCATGTGGAAACCAGAGGCTGACATGCTGTGTCTTTATAGCACTCTCATCTAATTTTAGGTGGGGGAGGGTCTTTTTGAGACAGGGTCTCCCTGTAGTCTCAGCTGGCCTGCAACTCACTATATAGACAGGCTGGCCTTGATCTCAAGAGATCTGCCTGCCTTTGCCTCCTGAGTGCTGGGTTATGCCACTAGGCCTGGCTATTTCTTCTTTATTTTCTATTACCATGAGTGAAAGTATGCACGTGCCAAAGCAGAACACGGAGGTCAGTTCTTTCTTTCCACTTTGTGAGGCAGGGTATATCTTGCTGGCTAACTCGCCCAAGAACTTCTGGGTTTGTCTTCTGTCTTTACCTCCCAACTCAGAGTAGGAATGCTGGGATTACAGATGTGTACAACATCAGGCTTTTTAGGTGGGTTCTGGGGATTGAACCTACGGTATCAGGTTTGTACAACAAGTGCCTTTACCTGCAGAGCTATCCTGCCAGTCCTTCACCTTTTTATTTATTTACTTATTTATTTGTTTGCTAGTTAGTTAGTTAGTTAGTTAGTTAGTTAGTTAGTTTTTGGTCTTTTTGAGACAGGGTTTCCCTATAGCCCTAGCTGGCCTGGAATATGTAGACCTGGCTAGCCTTGAACTCACAGAGATCTGCCTGCCTCTGCCTCCTGAGTGCTGGGACTAAAGGCGTGTGCTACCACACCCAGCTTTTTTTTTCCCTTTCACCCCATTTTTAAAGACAGGCTCTTTCACTGACTCTGGAGCTCACCATTTTGGCTAGACTGGCTGGCCAACTAGCCCCGAAAAGATCCACCTCACCACCACTGGAGTTACAGATGTGCACCTCTGCCTAGACTTTTACATGGGTGCTGGGGATCTGAACTCAGGTCCTCATACTTGTACAGCAAGCACGTTATCAACTGAGCTATCTCCCCAGCCTACAATACCTCATTTCAGACACCAAGTGTGTATATGGGCTCCCTAGTCACTCAGAATTCCAGTTGGTGTCCTAGAATTGGATTCTTTTCTGATACTATCATGTCAGCTACCACAGGCTGGGGGCTCGGCCTCACCACGCTGCTCCCAGGCTGTAAACTGCACCTCTGACAAGTGGCAATCATTCAAGGTTGCTCCAACCTTTGCCTTGCGTTTGATTCCTCTGTACAGTGGCTCAGAGGATCAGGGAAACACTACTTATGTCCACCCAGTTATTTAAAGGAGACTACAAAGAATCCAGCCCAACCTAGATACTTCTCAACTAGGGGTTTTTATGAAGGCCTTACCATGTGGACATAATCAGCCTCCAGTTTCTCCTTCCTGGAAGGTGAGGATGGGGTGGAA